CAGCTGGACTCTTCAGTAAACAGATATTTTTTGGCTTGACATTGATAAAACGTTCAATAATTTGCACTAAAGCAAAATGACAAATTTGCAGTGCGCTCCAATGTCTCCAAGAATAAGACTTAATTATTGGCTGAGGAGGTGAGGGAGACGCAGTGCCACATGTCTGTGGTCAGCCGGTGAAGCCTCAGAGGAGGCAGCTGCTTCCAGCTGTCACAAACGTCTCTAGAGCTCGGCTGTGTGCTTCAGGAAGCTAAATGTTGAGAAGCTGAGTCTGAATCAGGAGGCAGAGTTTAAAGTTCAACGTTGAGTTTATTCATATAAACATTGATACTCTAAAGGAAAAGACTTCAACATTACAAGAAAAGAGAAAAACAAAACACTGAAGTTAACCACCGTTATTTTTTCACCTTAAAGCTCCTGTAAGGAGTTTTTGGCATGTTACGAGACAATACTGATGCCTCTATACAACCTACAAGCATGAGATAAATGGCTTTCTATATATCAGTTTTAAACATGCTCTACCGCTCTCCCCGTCAAGTGTTAGCTAAGTGAAATAACTGCACGCTACAGACACAGCTTTTTTTAATTTCAAGATTCACAGTGAGTGCTGTGTTTGACCATTAAAAGAAAGCAGGAGGATTTCTTGAGAGTATTTCTTAGCATGTAAGGGGACTTGTCTAGCTTTGTCCACAGGGATCGACACAAAAAAATCTAATTCATCATCTCTCTCTCTCAATATGAATGTCAAAGAGGCGTAACGGAGGGACGGTGATCCCACCTCTGTACAGCCATTAGAGGTAGTAACAGTGGCGAGACAGCATCGCCAGAGCTGGCCGGGAAGAAACAGCGTTGTGTATGTGAGCGTGTGTCCGAGATACCGTGTGCATACAGTATGTGCTCCCGCTGTTTCTCTACACGCCATGCTTCCACAACGCCGTAACGCAGTGTGAATTCACAGACCAGGACGACAACATTTAGCCTTTGTGGAGTCATTCTGAATGTACAAAGACATCATGACGTGGGAGCTTGGCTACGGCGCTGTTGGGAGATAGCACTTCTGAAAAGGGGCGTGTGCCTATGCTCTGCTATCACGCCTCTAAAAAAAAAAACAGCAACCCTGAGTGGGCGGGCTATCTCTCTTCCCCCACGTGGTGGCAGGGTTAACGGTTAGACAGAAAAAACGATAACATGCAAAAAATAAAAACATGTATGAAACATGGCTGAGCCTCTGAGTGAAACATTAACAAGCTGAAGGAAGTGTCGTCCAGTCAGTGTGAACACAGAGCTCAGAACAAGCAGCCAGGAGGGCGTTTAACTTCACTCAGTCATTACCTAAGGATATATATTTACTAAGATGTATTTGAGTACTGCTATATTAATGTTTGAAATGTTGCATGCGAATGACCTGTGATGAACACAGTGCTGTAGAATGTGTCCAACAGATAATTAATGCCAGGATAAAACACCTCTGAGTTGAACCAGTGCTTTGATCGCTATTACTTCATGTTTTCAACATTATTCAAGAAATTATTTCTGTCACTTAGCATCCACTTTAAGACCACAAACTACCAAATTTAAAAGCTGGAGTTCAAATGTAATGGCACCCCCTCCCCTTCTGTTCAGGTATAGTTGTCTCCATGTAGAGTAGAAGGATGTATGGTGTGATCTTACTTGATTTAATATAACTTCAAAAGAAAGCCTTTCCGCCACCACATAAACAGGTACATTTGTTTGCGCCATTACTTTAAAAAGGAATAATAAAAATCTAAGGACAAATAAGGATGACAACTGTTCGATAATAAAGAATGTTTGACCCTTTACAATGAATTACTCACTGCTTCCCTACAGACTTGTTAGGATATTAGGAAGAATAAGAGGTGATGTGGTGTTAGCGATGGCCCTGAGGCAACAGTCCCTTCATGGACAAATATGAGCATACAATTATAGTAGCACATTCTTAACTCATGAACCTGATATCTGGTGTGGACAGTGAAAGATGAGAAGTTCAACTATAGTTGTTGAAGGATTGTTGCAGAAAGAAGGGAAACTTGTGGGAATCTATTTCTGGGAAGTGTGGAGGTTTCGAAAAGGAGTGGCCAGTTGAGAAAAACAGATCAGGGGAGGACACAGAGAGAGAGGTCATCACTTTGCTGAATCAAGGACTTTAAAAAAAAAAAAAAAAAATCACAGCCGGGGGTAGTTTTCTGTCCGGTCACTTCCCCTCCCAAGCATCTTCTTTCTGCCTAGCTGCAAGGCGTTTTTGATCTGGAAGATAAAATCACAGAAGAAAACAGTTTGATAAGTCAATCAGTTAAGCTTCTTAACTTCACAGAAGTGATTTGTTGCGCTCTGATTTGTCAGACAGACGGCTGTGAATGATCTAGATAAAACCATACGTGGCATCCATACCGAGGACACTATGTTCAGAACCAGATGCACGCCTGCTCGCTCGCTCACTCTCTGAGCTTGTTGTGATCTTAAATAAAGAGCACAGCAGTGCGACCAGTCTGAGAACAAAGTAGGTTTTTTTTGTTTTTCTATACTCAAGGCCCTGACTTCCTGACTAGGCTGTTCAGTGGACACCCACTCGTGGTTTTCAGTGCCTATATACTTATGTCCATCCTGGAAGGGAAATGGCTGCTGGACTGATTATAGACGTTATGATCCACATGGTGGTGGACACAGAGCCACTTCTCTTTGCATCAACTTGCAACCAGTCTTTCCATTTTCTTCAGTTCAGCATAGAAACAGCTCCCTCTTGTGTTGAAGGCCTTGTGGTGCAAAAGTTAAGAAACTCAAATGAGAACTGTTTCAAGTGTTTAAAATTAATTTATTCAGTCAAGGTTGTCTGGGACCGGGGCACTCCTTCTAAAACATCAAACCCCTTTAGCAATACTCAGGATTTGTGTCAAAAGTTTGCTTCTTGGGGCGCTGGTGGCACAGTGGTTAGTACGCGCGCCCCCTTTATGCCTCCATCCTCAGATGGAATCTGACCTGTGGCTTCTTTACTCCACTCTCTTTCCCTGATTTCTGACTCTATCCACTGTCTTATAACTACAAAAAAGGCACGAAAAGCCCAAAAATAAACCTTAAAAAAAAAAAGTTTGCTTCTTAACATAACATCTCTGTGTTTACCTCTCGCATCTTGGAGTTTCTTCTTCTCTGCATCACGCTGCTCCTTCGACAAATTGCTCTTCACACCAAGTGCACCAATCACAAGCTTGCGAGCTAATGCTGCACTCGTCTGAGGTCTCTCTTTGGCTGGCAGGAGGTAGTCTGGGGGAAGGAGGAAATCAGAATAATTAAATTATATGCTATTAGCTTTTTTTAATGTGTTAGATACATAAACAAAAACAAAAACAAAGGAGGCAAGAAACCCCGGCTGTATTTGTACCTGAGATGCTTCGGGCTTTGGCCTTCGTAGCAGCGGAGGATTTGGAAAGTGGACGCAGCTTCATCAGAGGATTTTTGGATCTCAAAGCCTCTCGAGCTGAAAATAGAACAGATCACATTTTTTAAAAATCAATGTGTTACAGTTGATGATATCTAAATGACATTCAAACCTGTGTCCTCCTCTCAAATATATCCAGGGCATACTCTAAAGCCACAGCCATGCTAGCAGTGCAGACTAAGGTGCCCATTGGCAGTGGTGAAAAAGCATTGACCTACTGGAGGATAAACAGTACCGCCTCCCATACGCAGGACACTAGCCTGATTGTCTATGGAGGGGCGGTGTGTTGGCTGTTTTTTTTATTTCCTTTGAGGAGTGATGATTTGTGATCAATCAATAAGCGCACAAGGAAGTAATTCTATCGACCCCCCCTGAACACAGACTAAATCCCCGTCCGATTCCTACAAACAGCTTTTCACTAACCTGCTATGGGGCTTGAGAAGAGGCCCAGGGCATGGGTGTCATCAACCCACTGGAGGTCAAAGCCTCTTTGTCTGAAAACACACAGAAAACAAATTAAATAAGTTAATTAAGATAAAACTTAAACATTGCTCTTTTTGTTGTGGCTTTCATCAGAAAGTACTGCTAAAGAGAGACAGGGGGCGGCTGTGGCTCAGTTGGTAGAGTTGGTCGTCTCTCAACCGGAAGGTCGGGTGTTCGATCCCCAGCTCCTGTCCAATTTGTCCTGACAAAACAATTAACCCCAAGTGGCTACTGCTGCTTCATCTGCATGTGTATTAATGGGATTAGTTATTTCTGATGGTCACTTTACACAGCAGCCTCTACCATCAGTGTGTGAATGTGTAGGTGCAGTTTAATAGCACTTTGAGTAGTCAGAAGACTAGAAAAGCACTTAACAAGTCAAGTCCATTTACCATTGAATTTAGAGGAGAGAAGAGTAAGGGGTAGCTATCAAAGACATTGCAGCCGTGACTTTAAGCTGATGTGTATATGGAGCGCCTGCTCTACCGCCTGAGCTAAACCGGCTCCCAAAAACATGAACCTGTGAATTCTGTTGATATGGGAAGAGATGAATAACCAATAGAAGTAGAACCACAACCAACAGAAGGGAATTTGGCCAATTAACACCACTGTTGTGAGCAGACTCTCTCCTGTAACCACATTCATCTATCAGTTGTCCAGAGATAGAACCCTGAGGTACATCGATGAATGGGGACTGTATTCTGCTTGTACATTTTGAATCTGATAGCAGTACTTTGAATTATACATACTGGTAGGACTGAAATAATTTGAGAAGGTCCTCGGTCTTGAACTCGGTAGGGAAGTCGTAGATCTCCACAATGTGAGAAAGTTCGTCCTCTGTGAGGTCGATGTCTTCCTCGTCATCACCATACCGGTCCATGTTGTAATAATCAAACCTGGGCTCCTGGAGTGACTCCTTCTTATTTCCCTCCTCCAAAGCCAGCTGAGAATGACGGACATGGCAAGTGCAGAGAGCAGAAAAAAAAGGTGACATAAGGAAAAAAAGAAAATGTCACATTAAACTTTTATTATAACGTTATTGTATTACAAACTCTTACAAGACAGCAGCAGCAGTGTAAACAGGCAAAGGAGTGTGTGTGAATGTAAGATACCCGCCAAGCTCTCACCTCTTCCAGCAGGTGGGGATCCAGACAGTCTCCATCATCATTGAACAAGGTGTCCCAACTCTCCTCTTCTCCCTTTTCTTCCTCAAGGGAGGCTGCCTCCAGTCGTGATGCACCATCTTCCTCCACACCGGTTAAATCAGGTTGCCCATTAACCTGAACATCTGTATCTCCTAACCGCTCGTCCCCAACAGCAGGCTTGCAGTCCTCACCTTCTCCTCCTACAGATGCCGCCGCTGCTCCGGCTTTGTCCTTCTTGTTTCTGGCGTTTTTCCTCGCCTTGTCTGTGTAGCGGGGCCTGGGTCTTGGTTTGCCTTCTCCCTGAGTTTGAGCTTTGTCTTTGGAGTCATGAGGTCCTTTCTTGGGGACATACAGGGCCTGGTTTGGCTTCTTTGACTGAGACGGAGGTGTAGATGTTGACAGGGCTGTAGCGCAGTCTTCTTTTGGCTGTTCCAACTCCATTATTAACTGATGTTAAAACATCTGGACCACAGAATGAGAGAGAGAGAGAGAGAGAGAGAGAGAGAGAGAGAGAGAGAGAGAGAGAGAGAGAGAGAGAGAGAGAGAAATTCTAAATATTATCACACTTTCATTTCAGTCAGTGAATAAACTCAATAACACCAACACCACGCATTATCTTTTATTTATACGACTGAAACGTGTTTATCCCACAGACTGTAAATATTAAGGTTTATCCCGATAGGTCTCCATTGCAGTTAGCTCGCCACTGTAGCCATAAAGCTAACCCGTTTTGTTATATAAAAAATGTGTTAATTCAGGAAAAAGAAAGTAATGAAAGACTACAGACTACATTATTTTGTTCATTTCATTTCATTTGGAAATGGACTTAAAGATGCTACCATTGTTGTTTTTCAGCTTACCCGTGTTTGGTTGTTCAGAGGCAGATTTCCGTAGCTTAAATGACGCAGCCGCAGCCGTAGGGGACGCAAAGCATTGTGGGAAGTTGGGTTTATGTGTGACGTCGGAGTTGAAACATTCTTGGCAACAGTACGTTATTGTTTTTTTACATCAAATTAGTGTTTTTATCAGGATACCATTTTTCTTCGTGGGTCAATGGTCCTTTCCCTCCGCTTGAATGTATTCTCCGCTAAATTGAATTTGTTTAGCAGCGACTACAGACAGAGCAGACTTCCGCCTTTCACATGCGGGATCCGTAGCTCTTCGCTGATTGGTCAATCCTCCACACGTTACACAAGCTGTTTCATAAAATTTTAAAGGCAGAAGTTGTGTAAGGTAGATGCTTTTGTTGCCAAATAACACAATAACAGGCGTTCACGTTCATTCATTCATTCATTCACATCTCTTCAAACTTCAATCAGACAGAGCTGTCAGGTAAGTTTGAGCAGAATTCCTGCATGACTATCTGCCGAGGAACAATCAGAGATGTGTTTGTGAAGCAAACGATAATGATATCTCTTGTTAACAAAAATAAAACAAGAAAAACCGCGTGTACAAAGATGTGATTAAGAATAAAGTCTTAATAATGATAAGGGCACTATTTGTGACTCTACGTTATTTGCAAAAATAATATTATTGGACATGCATATTGGAATTGCTTTCTTAAATCCACTCTGCAGGATTTTGTAGGACTTCATGTATTTTTTAGAAATCCTGATTAAAGTTTGTTTGATTTTCTTTTTTGTGACTTTGATTTGTTTAATTTCTTTCTCAGAACTTATTATTTTTAAATATTCATCATTGGGTTAACCCGTCATATTCAAATAGAAAAATGTTTCAAATTAGGATGTATATAGGTCCTCTTTTAAATAAGTAAAATGCACTAATTATTTAACCTTTCATGCGTAGTATACAAGTGATTACATGTTAATAACATGATGCATTATCCGTCCTGCATCATTCACATGTTAGTGCATCATCATCATACTGAATTGATTACTAAGTATATTACCTGTATATCCTTGTTTTTGTGTGTATTTGAATTGATACCTTATTTATTCTAATGCATTTAGAAAATGTTATATTTCCTATTTATTGCATTATTATTGAATGCAGCTTTTATCTTATTCTACACTAAGCTGCTCTGGGAGATGCTTTGCTGTTTTGTTATTCCACACTGAACAATAAGACTTCTTGAGATGTATGAGCCGGTCCTGTTCTGTGATGCACCAGGTTGCAGGGATGTGGGGTTCAGGTCTGTTGCTCCTCCTTGCTGGTCTGTGGCATCAGTCCAACACCCAGAACTCCGAGCCCATGTTTCAGGATGTAACACAGACGGTGCTTCCTCCTGACAATCTGCACAATCCCATGCAACTCAACTATGGAATGGCTGTCACCGACGTGGATGGGGACGGTGATCTGGAGGTGGTAGTCGCAGGGTGAGTTTTAAAGTTTTCTTTAAAAAAAAAAGCACCTTTTGTTAGAATTCAGGAGCAAAACGGACTTATGTGATGCTCTCCCTGCAGGTACAATGGGCCAAACCTCGTGTTGAAGTACGATCGCACTCAAAAAAGGCTGTTTAACATTGCTGTTGATGACATCAACTCCCCATACTATGCCCTGAGGGACTCAGGAGGACAGGCCATTGGAGTCACTGCTTGTGATGTGGACGGAGATGGACGTGAAGAAATCTACTTCCTCAACACAAATGACGCCTATTCCGGTGAATGGTTCTTTCTTATGAAACATTTTAGCCCAAGCAGGTAGCTAAATGAGTTTTCTGCTTAATACATGACTTTTGATGTGCAGGACGGGCAACTTATCTTGACAAGCTCTTCAAGTTCCGAAACGGACGCTTTGAAGACCTTGTGAGTGATGAACTAAATGTACGTAGGGGCGTCTCTAAACGCATGGCAGGACGCTCTGTGGCATGTGTTGACAGAAAGGTAAGTGAAGCCACTTTCTTATCCTCTTTATCAATGATTCACCATTTCGTTTACGCACACCTGATTGTTTTTATTCTTCAGGGGACTGGCCGTTACTCCATCTATGTTGCAAACTACGCTTCACGTGGCGTCGGTGCCCACGCTCTCTTGGAAATGGACGAGGCCGCCAGTGATGTGACCAACGGTGTCATTGCTCTGTCTGATGTGGCTGCGGAGGCCGGGGTCAACATGTTGACAGGTCAGGTTGGGGAAGGGAAGTCTGCAATACTTGTTGTATGAGGTGGACTCATGTTTTGTCTTTGTGCAGGAGGACGCGGTGTGACTGTGGGACCGATTCTGAGCCAGTCCAGGTCTGATGTGTTCTGTGACAACGAGAACGGACCCAACTTCTTGTTCAAGAATAAAGGAGATGGGACTTTTACCAACATGGCCAAACAAGCAGGTGAGAATATACCTGGAACTGTCATAGTGAGAAATACAAATCAAAGGTAACTTTGAATAAAGGTAATCAAAGTTCCATCTCCCCCTTTTCTGTCCAGTTATTCTCAATTCAAAGCAGTATTTCTAGCATTGCTAGCACTGTGATAGCAACTGTAATGGCAGTGTTGTATTGTCAGATGAACAACCCATAACTTTTAAGATTTGGCTGCTAATCGTTAAGTTTTGTTGAAGGAGAGCTGATGGGGTTTGTGGAGTTGAATCACAAGCCACCATCACGCCAAACGGCTTTTCCAAGAGTGGAAAAGATGTGTGAGGAAAGCGAAGCAGAATTGAGGGCTGATTTGCAACGTGTCTGTTGCTACACACTCGTGTACAGCTCTCACCACGGAGTCATATGATATCATCACTTTTCATTTCATTCAGAGCTGGTATACATTTATCCAATACTGATGAGGGCACACTGCACTGGACCACTGGGAAGTTAAAATATATAGTTTTTAAGTAATCGATTATTCTTTTATAAGGTTTTAAGAATACGCAAATATATACATTACTGAAAATCTCCATCCCGAACCGCTATTAGACGGATTTCCGTTAAATTACTATATATCAACCCCATAATCACTGAAACAAGAAAATTAACTTCAGTACCTTTAGTTTTGTGCTCATGCGCCAATGATAGGATGCTGAATTAAGATGCATTCTCTCTGTTGGCATCATGTCAAGATGAAAGTGAACAGATTTTCCTGCACTAGCTTAACTAGGGGTTGTTATAAATTTGCTGACAGGAGTGGATGATGTGACCCAGCATGGCAGAGGTTTGGCCCTGGCTGACTTCAATGGCGATGGAAAGACAGACATCGTCTACGGCAACTGGAATGGCCCACACAGACTTTTCCTGCAGGGCAGCAACTCTAAATTTCGGGTAAAGAAGGAGTGATAGAAGATGCACAGAAAGTGGGTGATGGTAATCACCCAGTTTTATGAAGCAATACTTAACTTTCTTTTGTTTTGCAGAACATAGCCACTAGAGAATTTGCTACTCCCTCGCCCATACGCACAGTCATCGCTGCTGACTTTGACAACGACAAGGAGCTGGAGGTGTTTTTCAACAATATAGCCTACAATGGCCTCTCCCCTAACAGGCTGTTCAGGTTAACATTGGAATTATTATGAGAATCTGAGGTCTAATGAGAGGCATCAAACTATTAAAAAACCCAAAGGCGTACTCATAGTTATTGTCAGGTGTGTTTGTTTTCAGGGTGTCAAGGAGGGCAGATGCAGACCCTTTGATTCAGGTGCTTAATGTGGGCGACGCTGCAGAGCCTCAGGGACGAGGAACAGGTCAGCTGAGTCTTAAATCAGAAAAGATGACATTTAACAACATATTGTTATAACTTACATTTTTTATTTACCTACCAACCTCTCTTTGGATACATTTGAGAGACTCAGAAGTCATGCCAAAGTGAAGTTTTCATGTATGTCAGTGAGAAGAGAAAGCTGTTTCCTGTTTTGGACAGGTGGCACTGTGACAGACTTGGACGGGGACGGACAGCTGGACCTGCTGCTGGCACATGGAGAGAGCGCCAGGCAGCCAATCTCTGTCTTTAAGGTCACGCAGGTCTGTAGGCATGTGTTTGTTTGTTTGTTGCACTCTTAGAAATTCCCCTGTTAAAAAAACGGTAAACAACTGGCAGTAGGGTTGCCAGGAAGTTACTGTAAAATTAACGATATATTGCTGTTGCTGAAATTTATAGTTTTCTACCGTTTTTGTAAATACAGCAAAAAGCTGTTATTTTAAACAAAGAAAATACACTTTAAGAACATGAAGGTTAAATAGGCAAAGAATCTTGCATAAATATTTACATTAAGGCATTTAGCAAAAGCTATTTCCAATGTATATAAACTGCATAAAAGAGTTTTGGTAGTTACATTTTAAACAGAGAAGTGAAAAAAAATCTGTTATAGTTTCATAACTGAATAAACAACCTGTCCACTGTCCTTTCAACCATGTGTTCTCAACTTCTTTTTCCCAAAATGCTTTGCAAAAATTACATTAAATTACCGCTTTGTTTCCTTCAAGCAATAATACTGTAAAATATTGTTATAAACCGTTTTAATACAGTAATGTCCTGTATTTAAACATAACAGGATCATACTGTTGAAATTTCCTTTTTAATTTACAGCAATTTCTTAGAGTGTGTGTTGGAAGACGTATTTAAAGTAATTGTACTAATGTATTATAGACTTAATGTAGTTGGAGCCTCATAGTACCCTTCTACAACCAAATGTACCCTGATACTGAAACATAAACACACATGTGAAATTATAAGGTTGATTATTTCTTTAGCAGACATGTACTGTAGTAGCTTATTGAAGTGGAGCTTGTTTCAACTACTATATGTTATGTTGAGAGATCAACACTCTCAGTTGTAGTGCTTGAAATCGGTATTGGTCTCAAGACCACTTTTTGAAGGTCTTGTCTCGGAATCGAAAGCATTTGTACTCGGTCTTGTCTCGGTCTCAGACTACCCCTGACAGGCTATTTTTCCAAGTCATTACTGAGGTAAGAAGTACAATTCCTCTTTCTAAAAGATTGAAAAACTTATTTTCATTCATAATATAATTTTTATCCCTGGTTACGGCCGTAACCTTCTCTATATTATGGTCTAAGTGAGTGACACACCCGATGCACACAAGATAATGATTTTTCTTTGGTCTTGTCTTGGTCTCGGTCTCACAGTGTCTTGGTCTTGGTCTTGACTCTGTCTCGATCCCTAAATCTCTTGGTCTTGGTCTTGACTCTGTCTCGATCCCTAAATGTCTTGGTCTTGTCTTGGTCTCGGAGCACTCTGGTGTCAGGTATGTCTTGGTCTCAGTCAGTGTGGTCTTGACTACAACACAATGCAATGCAGATGAACACAAGCAACACTGTCCCAACAATTTCCTAACCTCTGGGCTCAAAGGGTCATAAAATGAACCGTAGTCTCACGAGTTGGTAAATGAAAATGGAAAGCAGAGGGAAAACAATTACAATACCCAAATTTGAATTACATTTTTCTTCTACTGCTTCTATCCAAACTTGATATCAAAGCTCTGTGTCTTTATCCGTCTCTTCCTTTCCCTCTATCCCACTTTCCAAGCCCAGCACAGCTGTGGCAGATGGCTGCTCAGCATGAGTCCTGGTCTGCTCCAGGTTTCTGATTATGTAGGCAGTTTTTAGCAAGTTTACCATTGTTACTTTGCTAAACGTTGCCAAGTTCTAGGCTCATGGCAAAATAATGTTGGGTCTTTGTAAATACCTGTTGGTTTTTATACTGTCTTGAGGTATCAATTTTTATGAATTAGTGCTTTACAAATACTGATTTTTTAAAATTTAATTCTACTCTAAAATGCAGATGAGCCCCGTTCAAAAACACCTTTTTTTAGGTGCCACAAGCAAGAAGATATCGGAAACAGCTGGATTAATATATAAAGACTATATCAGATATCTTTGCAATATAAACTTTGACCTGTCACATAAGCGTAAATCCAAAATAAAACTTAATGGTATAGCAGAAAGTTGTGACATGGTGCCATAAAAAGTTAGCAAAAAAGGAAATGAAGGATTGAGTGATAGAAATTGAACTTTTAGAAATAATTAAATTTTAGGTTATCACTGTATTTTATTTGAACACTGAGCTGCTTTTCCCCAATGTTGTTTTTTTTTTTAATGTTCTTCAACTTTAAATGTCTAACCTCATCAGGGCTCATCCAACAACTGGCTGCGGGTCATCCCTCGCACCCGGTTTGGCGCTTTCGCCCGAGGAGCCAAGGTCACGGCCTTCACCAGTCAGAGCGGAGCTCACACTCGCATCATCGACGGAGGCTCTGGGTATCTGTGTGAGATGGAGCCTGTCGCCCACTTTGGTTTAGGTAACTTTCTTTCACATTTTAAAATTCACAGACATGGTCATCATCAACTTGTGGTTTGTCCTTAGACAAACAGAAAACGATGAAACTCTTGAGAGTTCTTTTCCCTGATGTGTGATGATCACTGACATATCTTCCCATCACTCTCAGGAAACGATCAGGTCACGGTGCTGGAGGTCTCCTGGCCAGATGGCAGCTCCTTCACTCGAACCCTGCAGCCTGGTGAAATGAACTCAGTGGTGGAAGTCACCTATCCCAAAGAAGGGGAAACAGCTGTGCTTGCCAACGACACGCAGGTACGCAGAGGGGATCTACAGCATGAATTATGAACACGGTTAATATTCAGGTCAGTCTCTCTGATGAGTCAGCCTCTCCACTTTCTCTCTTACTGTCATTTTTTGTCCAGTCAGCAAGAAAGACAGTATAAAAAGATGGACAACATGACATCTCCACAAAAGTGAAGCCAAAACATTTTAACTTCACCCTGCTGACTGGCTGCTGTATAGGTCATAAGCTCCGCCTCCTCCATGTTAACAGATGGCAAATTCATTAAACAAGAAACTTTAAATTCAAGTACAGTTTTTTTTATAGTTGTCATTATAGTGCGCTCTTATCACGCTGATGTGATCAGTGTTGATAAGACGTGTCTGAAAAGTTAATTTGTTGTTTGATGCTAAAAAGAGCCAGAGGAATGTTATGATTTGCTGTATTATTGTAAGGTTAAATGTGTGCTTCGGTTAGTGAAAGGGGATTGAAGTCTTTGGGTCACTTGACTGGGGTGGAGGCCTGGAGGGCAAAAAGAGTTTAGGCATATGGCAGCCACCATCAAGCACTCTGTGGAGCTGCAGCACCGGCTTGTTGATTTTCCATTCCTTCAAAACGATGTGTGCTTATGTTTGTGGGTATCAGGTTTAATATCAGGATTACTGTCTGCTGTTACTTTCAGTGTTTGGTAGTATTTTGGCTTCATCTTTTCTAAGTGAGGAGATAGAGATGAGTCGTCCATATTTATATTCAATGATCAGCACATATATGTAATTCTAAGTCTAAGTAATTCTAAGTATTAATTGATTTTGTTCGTATATTGATGTGATTCTTTTTTCTTTTTCGTTCAGTGTGGTAAAGGTTTTACCGTGCAGAGTGGCCAGTGTGCAGGTAAGATTTGATTTGATTGATGTACATATTTGACTTGAAGGGCCGTAGAGATAAATTAAACTGGTTATGCAGAATATATTTTGTTTTGTTTTTTTAATTTCAGTTTTTGTTCATCTTTTTACAGGTCTGTGAGGATAATCAGATGGAGTTCCATACGAACTTTCTGAGCAAAATGCAAAGCTGTTAAAGAAAACCTGATTTTAGAATGCTTTGTTTTATCTGTACTTTAAGGACAGTCCTTTTTCTCTTTACTCTATGGGTAGCTTTAATATTTTCTTTCTTTTTTTAACTAAAAATGTCTTTAGTAAACTGCAACAAATCAGTATGGTGATGGTATGGATTATCATCGATTGTAACAAATAAAGTCTTCGGTACTTAGTCTGTCCATTTAATCCTGTTCACAATTTTTTCAATATCTGATGAGCTAGCTCTGCCTGAATATTTTAATAACGGTCTTATTACTAAAACATGCACCCAGCTGAGAATGAAAACAGTAAGAACAAGACATGAACTCTGTGTCCTCTGCATCTTTATGCCTCTCTTATGTTTTCCTCGATTTACTTTCTGCTGACTCCCATCTCCATCAGTTTCTTCTCCCTCACTGTGTAGTCTTAATCTGATGTCTGTCTTTCATATTTTCTTGTTCTCCCCCATTCCTTACCCCAACCAATGCAGCGTTGGCTCCATTTTACGATGGCATCCGCTCGGCCTCTGTGACCACCTCTGGAGCCTCCCCATTTATGACCCTTTTACTCCAGTGTGTTACGGCGCTCTCTGCACTGGCAGATGTCCGGGTATGGTTGTCTTGAGTTTATTAGGGACACAGTAAAACAGCCTTTCTCCAGCACTGCATGCCTGCATCAAGCTGGAAGACTTATATCCCAGTGACACGATGAAACAGGGAGTCTGATAGCATCACATGAAAGTGATGCAGGGTTGAATAGTCCTTAAAGGATGCACGATTACGTGAAGGAATTTTCCTGACAAAAGCCTCTCACATCACATCAACATCATATGAACAAGATTTAGTTGTTAGTGCAGACAAATGGACTGATAGAAAAGGCACTACTCGGGTTATAGTAGGTCACAGTTAGCATCTCTTTTTAGTCGTAAACAATTCATTTGGTTCTGAACTCGTGCTCGTCTTAATGTTGTATTAAGTAATACACATTAAAAAAGGGCTGATCATTTCCTTTTGCCTATTTTTTCAGAAAATTATTTGGTGTAAATTTTGGATTATTATTCTGAAATTTGTTAAAAAATCTGGATTGAATGAAATGACAATAGAGAGTCCCAAACAATGAAAAACATGAAGATAACACACGGGAATTTATCAAAAACAGCCGTGACAATGACCAGATAGCCATTACTGATTTTATTTTTAGGCCTCGTTTGGTTCTTACTCTGAGAGAAGTTCTATGCAATACTCTGATAGACTATATATTTGATGCCTTTGCATGGATATGTATTGCTTGTGGTATTCATAAGGAATGTTATGTACTTGGTAGTTTTGAGAATTCAGCTGCAGAACAATAAGAAATACATGCCACATTTTAGTTAGCTATACTATTCGGCTCTGGGAACCACTGAGGCTAACAACTTGGCATGCTAAAGAGGAGATAACATAAGGCAGAAAAAATGTTGAAAGAATATCACAGTTGTTCATCTAAATATTTCCAAGGACTGGAATTAAACTACAATAACTTTAAATCCACCAAAAAATGTTTTCTGGAAACATTAGCAAACACACATATTGACTTCTGCTTTACTGATTATACGAGACAGGGCTTTCATTTTGGTTCTCCATGCACAGTGATGGCAACCTCATTTAAGGGCTCCAATAGTTATTAAACACGCTTCACTTGAAATCTGGGCAGACGCAAGTCAGCTGGATAAAACCATACTAACTCTGAGGTCTTTGTGATGAACCGTGACTATTTCGTATAACGACGTGATGTTGTATGTACAGAGGTAACCGTGCTTATACCCAGTTGGGCCTGTAGAAATGTGAGTGCAGGCCAGTGGGGAGCTTCAGCACGGTACGGGCCAACTGGGCCAAGTGTGAGTGCGCCCTAAGATGGATGGAACAATAGCTGCCTGGGAGTTAAGCCAAAATATTTATTAGCGCTCCCACTGTTGACACGGCAGGTCAAACTTTTTCCAAGATAAAATACACATCAAATAAAGTATTTTCAAACCCGGATTCTGTTGTTATAGTTATTATATGCTGATTTACTTACTTCTGCACATCTTTTGGTTCTAAATAACGCCACCACAGTATGTCAGCGTCCATCGCAGGTATTTTGGCTTCACTTTTGTACAACAGGAGGAGACAGAGATGTATTGTCCATATTAGTACAGTCATCAGACACTAACTT